TCGGACACCACCACCTGCGTTCGGACACCACCACCTGCGTACAGACGCCAACACCTGATACTTCTCACCTCCGGATGCTACCACCGACGTTTGGATGCCACTCTACCACCTTCACCCTCCAGCGTACCATGATCACTTTTCAGCGCCCCGCTACAGTTCGCATCCGATGCCAGAGTTTGTGTCCGGATGCGAAAGCCCATGAAGTAACCAGAGCCTAGCTCGGGTTTTATAAATTTCAATCTCTAATTCCCCTTATTCACAACCTACACCACCCACTTCCTAACCCTACCTTTCAAATCCATATCATAATTATATTTCACTCTCTCCATCTCCATTTATCCTCCATCCATTATCTATAATCATCCTTCTCCATCATAACCATAATCTTTCAATCAAAGAGGGCAAATTTTCAAACTCTAAATTGAGGTAAATTCTTTTCTCTTCTATATTTCAACTATTGCTTATTTCATAGAGATTAGAACTTGATTTTGTGGGGGATTAGTTTATTTGGTGAGAAATTGGTGTGTTTTAATTCTAGATTCATGCTTGTTAGATTCAAATAATCTAATCTTCATAAGTGTTCTTTACTTTTCAGTCTTGCACACCACGTGTTCGATAAAAGTTCTGAACTAACTTCTTTCACTCAAATGGCTTCTTCTTCTACTTTTAAGCGACCTTGCACTTTCGAGGAGTCTTTTGAGGACAATCTTACCCCGGATTGGACTGATTAGCCCATTGAATATGAAACTGAATTCACAATTGAGCATGAATTTTAAGACCATCCGGAAGCGGTTTGGTCTGTTTTAGAGCTGAAAATTTGTGGTCTTGAAGCTTTTTTAAGCCATGCATTCGTGTTTTATGTTCACGGATCATCTGGCAATTCTTTGCCAACATGTCACACTCCTGTGCTGAGCAAATGTGATCCGGCCAATAATTGATGGCACGCCCTTCACATTCACCATTACTGACATTGCCATAGCTTGGGACATTCTTATGACTTCTCCCTTGATTGATGATCATTAGCCCATTTATGGTGTTTGTTCGGACACAATTACTTTGGCAGACATTATGAGTGAAATTTGTCACAACAGCTTCACATATCGTCGCACAACAAGCACCAACAAATCTTATATCCCATGCCGGATTTGGTTCTTAGACTCTTTCCTTACTCAAAATGTCTTTCCGGTTGCTAGGCATTCAGAAAGAAATGGTGCTTTTCTAACTACCCTTTATGCTGCAGAAAGAGGTTATTGGTTTTGCGTTCCACAGCTTATTTGGGATCAAATCTTGAAACTTTATCGTGATCTCATTGTTAAGCAACTGGATAATGCTTTGACATGGGCATTTCCATTTCCTTATTTGATCATGAAAATGCTAACGAAAAAGGGACTTAAAGTACGCCGAAATTAGGAGAAAATGGAGGATGTGTATCTTTATAATCTTACTGAATGGAAGAAGAGTCGTTCTCAATTGAAAAAAGGTAGACAGCTATGCATTGGAGATGAGTTCACTTATTGACTATGGTGGTGCTGCTCCGGGTCCATCTCCTTCTACCTTTATGGAGGATTGAGTGTTGTGTTGCTCTTTAGTTTTGTTTAGTTCATGCTATTTCCTTTAGTTTTGTGTGTTTTGCATAATTTTAGGATTTGGGCCCTATTTGGCATGACAATTGTGAGTGCACTTTTTGATGTGCACATATTTTAATTTTCTTTCCCAGTTTTAAATAAATCATGACGTGGTACTTTATATTTATCTCTTCATATATGTCGATACTTTTATGCTTGGTGTATAGTTTTCTGAACAGATTATCAGGTCCAAGTTTGGGGGAAGAAATTTTGCTATTTCACTACCATTGGTTGCACTGAAGTTATCATATTGCACTTGGTAGTCTCTCTCCTTTTACATCTCTTGGCATGCTTAATTTCTATACTTGTTTTCATACATTAAGGATAATGTATCATTTAAGTTTGGGGGTGTTGAGAGTTAGCTATTCACAGGCAGATTGTCATCATTGAATGTGGTTGAATTATTTATAGTTGAATTGATTTGTTTAAAATATATATATATATGTGTGTGTGTGTGTATGTGTGTGTGTGTGTGTGTTTAGGCAATTGATATATATATATATGTGTGTGTGTGTGTGTGTGTTTAGGCAATTGACTTTTGGCGTTGTTGGAACTAAGTTTGGGGGGAGGGGGATTTTTGTGATTAATACTCTTATATGCTTATATAGAATATCAAGGAATGATTGAAAGTTGTCAGCATGATTGTTCAAAATGAAAAAGATTCATTGCATGATTTAAATGTTTTATTTTAGAGTCTTTCATCTCTAAGTGACTTCACAATGCACATTGAGCACACCGAAAAAATGCATTCCCTTCCTTGTGGTTTTACTTAATTGACTCCCTGAATTAGTAAGTCAGATGAATGAAATAATCATTGGCATACATAAAAACTAAATAAATAAATAAATAAAAAATATGAATAAAACTGCATTCTTTTAACATGTCAACTAATTAAAAAGGAAGACAATGAAAGAATGTAAGACGTATGATTAGTTTGAGTTTGTAGCCTAGCCATTCTGAGTTATTACACCCTTAGGAGTGTCTTTACACTTAACGCCCTAAGACCATCTGGTTTGGGAGTCGTTGGCTCAACGCTTGTTACATGGGGTGCTTAGAGAGCTTAAAGAACTTAGACATTGCATATGGTCATACATAAAAAAAAAATAAATAAATAAATAAATTAAAAAAAATGTGTTCAAATAAATGCATGCCTTGGATTATGATTTCAAAAGATAGATTAAGGATGTGGAAGACATTGAATGAGCCATAAAAGGGTTAAAAGTGCATTCTTAAAGAAAATGAAATTTCGGTTCACTTCTAAGGATCTTGAGATGAAATTCTATTATAATGAGATATTGAAGATCATATATGTGGACTAGTCTGTTAATACATGAGGGCTGGGAATTGAATATTGTTTTGAGATATCATTGTATGCATACTTGTTGTAGTCTTCTTGATAGAGTCTTTCCCTAGAGTCATATGTTTCGATGTACACTAGAATGAGCCTTGTTGCTTAGTGTTTGTGGGTATCATTTCTGATAAACCCTCACGAGACTTCACTTGTCCTCTAAGGATACTTAGGGGTTTAAAAGGCTTGTTGCATATGCTAAATGCAATCGTCAGTTCGACGAAAGAGGAGAAGTCTGTGTTTCAATTTTATTTTGTTAAGGGACTAGCAAAATGTAAGTTTGGGGGTCTGATAAGCGTCAAATATTTTATATTTAAGCACCCTTAATTACATTAGTTAAGCCTATTATTTAATCTATTTATATAGATTCACTACATTTTTATGTTTTTTGTGTTTTTGCAGATCTTATTGCTAAAAAGGAATAAGAATAAAGTTTTAAAGGATTTTAAAGCACATGTCATATCAGGCCTACATTTCAAGTGATCATCAAAGATAAATAACATGCAGGGGCGATGGATGTAACCAGAGCTTAAGAGAGAAGTTGATGTCAGAGTAGCATGCCTAGCGTCCGGACACCATCCTCCAGAGCTCGCATCCGGACACCTATTTTGGCGTCCGGACGCCATACCATCAGGGCCTCACGTCCGGACACGAGACCACGGGCCCCCATTATCTTTAAGTCTGATTTTGTCTATCCTGAGATGTAATTTCGAATTTTAAATGAAGGATTTTGTATTTTGAATTGACGGGGAGATAAAAAGGGGGAAAAGGCTGAAGAAAGATATCTCGTTTTTATTTTGGAAAATATACAAAGAGAGAGAGAAGGATTTTTAGGGTTCTAGGAGGAGGCTTGCAAAGATGGTGGGAGAGGGAATTCTATTCTCTTCTTCAATCCTGGAGGGTGTAGCCATATTCATGAGAGGCTGAATCCCTTTTCTAGGGAGTTGATGTAACCTAGACCAAATAAACATGGTTTGATTTATATTTCAATTTGAGGATTATTACTGTATGTATTAGTTTATAAATTAGAAGTATTTACATTGACTTCATGTTCTTTACATTAAGTTGATGCATGTGTTTATCATATGAATATATATTTGTGTTGATTTGTTATCTTGTCTTACAAATCATATTAATACAAGTATTACACTTGATTTCCTATAGTGACAATGGGAAAGAATTTATGTAATGGTTCTATTGGCATGAAATTAAGCATTTATATAGGTTATACCTAAGAAAGATGGATCATACTACACCCTTAGATTAATGTAGTTAGGTAGATGGTCCATACCAACTGAAGATAATCTATGATATTTAATTGATTTCATGTGCTATAACATATTATTGAAGGACATTGATAGGCCATGCCTAGGGAAGATGGTTCATACCACAATCTAGTTTAGGTGGATGAACCATGCTAACCAAAGATGGGTTATGCTTAGTCCTGAATGTATGATCTTCTTGACGATGTTGTGGAAGTTTTATGCTCCTGCACATCATTATATATATATATAAGTGTCAATCCCCAAGTTGAGTGCAAGTTCTACATGTTTATGAGGTTGAGGTGAAGTCAATTCCTTAGCCTTTTCTTTATAAGTTTAATCCATCATTTTTACATTATTTACTATTTTCTGAAAGTTAAATTCATAGGTTAAGTGACAAACCAATCAACTTATCATTTCTTTTATCAAATAGAGGAAGTAGTTTTATAATTCTGTTTGCCATAAACTAGCAATCCTAGTGGTTCGACAACCCCTACTCTAGTATCAATCTGCAATGATGAATGAGCTATTGTTATAAGTGGTATTTTTAAGTGGTACACATTTGTGCGCATCAGTGAGATACTCCTTAAGCTCTATAAAAGCTTGCTCGCACTCAGGTGTCCATTAAAAAGTTTTCCTGAGCACACAAAAAAAAGGTAAACACCTATCCATTGCCCTAGAAATTAACTTGTTCAGAGCATCGATTCTTCCTGTCAATCTTTGAAGTTCCTTGGTCGATGCTGGAGATCGCATGTTGAGAATCGCCTAGATTTTCTCAAGGTTGGCCTCTATCCCTCTCCTGCTTACCATGTAACCAAGGAATTTCCCAGAGGAGACACCAAAGGCACATTTGTCTAAGTTGAGCTTCATTTGGTGTTTCCTGAGGACTTGGAATGTCTCTTGTAGATCAGCTATGTGGTCTTGAGCTTTTAAGCTTTTTACGAGCATGTCATCCACATATACTTTCATATTCCTTCCGATTTGGTTCTTGAACATCAAGTTGACTAGCCGCTGGTATGTTAAACCAGCATTTTTGAGCCCAAAAGGCATCACCTTGTAGCAATATTAACTTCTGTCTGTGACGAAAGAGGTTTTCTCTCTGTCTGATGGATGCATTGAGATTTAGTTATACCCTGAATATGCATCCATGAAACTAAACAACTCATGGCCAGCCATTCCTTCTACCAACATGTCGATTTTTGGCAGAGGGAAGCTGTCTTTGGGCCACGCCTTATTTAAATTGGTAAAGTCTACGCACAACCTCCATTCTCCATTGGCTTTTTTTTTTACCAAAACAACATTTGCTAGCCAGTCGGGATAATTAACCTCTTGGATAAAATCAGCTTTCAGAAGCTTATTCACCTCTTCTGATATAGCCATGTTCCTCTTTACGACAAATGTTCTTCGTTTTTGCTTAATAGGTTTGAATGTGGGATCCGTGTTTAATCGATGCTCGATCGTAGCTGGATTAATACCAGGCATGTCTTCATGTGACCATGCGAACACATCTTAATTCTGTCTGAGGAACTATACAAGAATATTCGTGAAACCTGAGGGGAGCAGAGACCCTATCCTCACCTTTTTTGTTACGTCATTGTCATTTAGGCATATCTCCACTAGGTCCTCAATTGGCTTGGCTCGGTCTTGCTCCTTTTCTTCAATTTCTTCGACAATCAAGGCCTCTTGCTGCTTCTTTTCTTTGAGAGATGCAACATAGCATTCTCTAGTAATGGTCTGGTCTCCTCTTAGTTCGCCTATGCCATACTCTATGGGGAAGCGCATCAATAGGTGATAAGTCAAAGTGATGGCCCTTATCGAGTTTAAGGTCGTCCTTCATAGGTTGACATTGTAAGCATATGGACAATCTACCACCAGGAAGCCTACCATGACAGTAACTTGTTTTGGGTTGGTTCCTGTAGTGACGGGAAGAACAATCGCTCTTAGAGAATAGACTTTATCTCCCGAGAATCCCACCAATGGTGATCTAGTAGGTCTGAGTTTCTCCTTACCAATCTTCATTTTGTTGAATGCACCAAGGAAAATGATATCAGCTGAACTTCCATTATCCACCAAGATCCGCCGAATACTATAGTTAGCGATCATCATGGTGACAATGAGAGGGTCGTCGTGGGGTTGTTGCATGTCCTTAATATCTTCATCTCAAAATATGATAACAAGACCACCTAGACAAGGCATTTTTTGATGTGGAATCTATACTCCAACTTCGCACACCTCAGATGAGTTTCGCATTCTCCTGGCATAGGCCTTACGGGCTGATCTTGATTCCCCACCTCCTACATATCCCCTGGTTATAACCCTGATTTCTCCCATTGGTTGCTAATCAGGGGGGGGGGGGTTATCTCGGTCTGCTCTTGGTGGATTAATGTCGGTTCTGTCATTCCCCACAATGAACCTTTGCATGTGTACCCTTCGGATCAAAGTCTCAATCTGATCATTAAGGTTGAAGCAATCCTCTGTGGCATGCCCATGGTCTTTATGGAACCTATAGTACTTATCACGAGGTCTCCTCGTCGAATCCGACTTCAACTTTGGTGGCCACTTCAGATATGGTTCATCCTGGATCTGCTAGGAAAACTTGATCTATTGGCATATTTAAAGGAGTGTAATTTGCATACCTCTCCGCGCTCTTATAACGAGACGCCCTTTCATTCTGGTTAACCATGGGTTTCTTATACTTGGTTTCCTTTTCATCTTTGGTTGTCAGAGTCGGCCTTTTCTTATCTGCCTTTTTATCATCCCCTTCTTTTCCCTTTCTTGCAGTCAAAGCATCTTCAGCATTCATATGTTTTTGAGCTTGAACCAATAATTCAGCCACGCTGGCAGAGGGTTCCTCCGATAAAGAGAAGAGGAATCTTGAGGTTTAGACTCCTCCCATAAAGGCGGCTAGGGCCACCTTGTCATCCGCTTCCTCCACCTGCAGCATCTCCATGTTGAAACGACCAATGTAGTCTCGTAGTGACTCTCCCTTTTGCTGCTTCACCGTATGAAGGTAGGTAGCCGGCCTTCTATACCTCTGGCCAGCAATGAAATGGCCCACAAAGTGCTTACTCAATTCTTTAAAGGTTTCAATGGTCCCTGGCTTTAGCTTGTTGAACCATACTAATGTTGATCCTTTAAGGGTCGTTAGAAGGTCCTGCACATGATCTCATCCGGCATCGCGTGCAGATACATAAGCACTTGAAAAGTCTCTAAGTGGTCGAAGGGATCTTTAGTTCCGTCGAAACTCTCAATTGAGGGCTGATGAGCGCTGAAAAGTGCGTATTTAAACCCCTTAAGCTTGAGCACTCTAGCACCTTTATCTATCTTACTTTACCATTTTAGATTGATTTCGTATTATTTCCATTTTCAGGCACTTATCCCGAAAATAAGCTAACTCAGCCAAATAAGAGATTAATTGAAGCAATTCTGGGATTAAACAAAGAAATGAGCAAAGTGGAGAAAGAAGAAAGCAAATGAAGCCAAAGGTGGAAAGCAGCAAAGTTCAATCGATCCAAGTTCAAGGTTCGATCGATCGAACAATGATCGATCTCAGCACTTCAAGATAGATCCAAGCCTTGGCCCAAAAGCATAAAGTCCAAAAGTTTGATCGATCCAACACCACCCTTCGATCGATTAAACACTTTTGTCCTTATTCAAATGATTGATCCTATCCACAGCTGTACCACCCACTAACCACTTTTGTCCTTTTCCCATAAATATCTCTCCAAAATATCTCGGATTTGTCTTTTCCCAAAAAGCTCAACCAGTTGGATCGATCCAGCCTAAGTTTGATAGATCTCAGCCAGTTCGATCGATCTAAGTCTAAGGTTCGATCAATCGAACTTCCTCCAGTGCGAAAAAGTTAAAATTCCAGCTTGTGCAATCTGTCCTCTATCCAGAACTTCCTCTAGTGCGAAAAAGTTAAAATTCCAGCTTGTGCAATCTGTCCTCTATCCAATCATTAGAGAATATTCTTTGCATGACCCCAGCTCATTTTGTGTGCCACTTGACCTACCTATAAAAGGAATATGATGCACTTTTTGAGCATATAGACTATTTTAGGGTTTAATGTCTTGGAGAGGAGGAGGAGGCTAGAGACACCATCGGAGACTCTTCATCAACCAAGGAGCAAGCCTCTTCCATGGAGTCAGCCCTTGAGGGTTGGAGCAACATCACCATGAGTGGCTAGACATCCTCTTGGGGCTAGAGTTAGCCCCAAGCATGCTTTCTACACCTTAATCTTGTGTATTATTGAGGGATTAGTGTTGTAATTAATGTTTTGACACTTTGATATATATAGTTCTTGTTTATTCAATGATTTATGTGGTTTAATGCTTCCAATTGATCATTTCATTCTATCCATATGTCTATGTATGCTAGAATAGATGTTCATATGCTTGTCTCTAGATTTTGCGTTATTGATGCATGTCTATGTGTATTGATGCTATAAATTTGGAGATTGTCAAAACATAGTGCTTAAAGGAATGCTCTTGTGATTCTCTTGATGGTTCATACTTATTCCTTGATGGATTGTGCCTCTCCCCTAGTTTATTTTCATGCTAGTAGTGTAGATGTAGTGTAGTTGTTGTGTAGTGTTAAATGGGAGGACAATCTGCTTGGAGTTTATGTAGACTAAAAAAACAGACTTTTCAATGGAGTTCTCTTTGCTGAGGTCACTACCGACCTAGAATAGCTGTGGGGGTTGCAATTATACTTCATAATAAAAACCTCAGCTATGTGAATTTGCAGAAACGTGGACTGTATGTTGCTCCTATTTGTCACAACTGTTTGGCCAACACCGATACCAATGATCATTTATTTTGTGAATGTAAATATGCTGTTGCAATTTGGCAAGAAATTGCTAGTATTATTCAAATGAATCTGCCTAGTTTCAACTTATTTCCTCAAATGATAGACTGGTTTCTGCAACAATCAGCTTTCAAATCTACAAAATCAACAATGGTAAGTGTCTTATTTGCTGCCACTATTTGGAAGATTTGGTCCAATCGAAATTCAAATCTCCATTATGGAATACAAGATACTTCTTTTTCTGCTGCTAGAACTATTGCTTGGGATGTGCTTGCATACCTCAAACTTAAACTTGAGGATTTGCTAATCATTTTTGAATTCTTGATGCTGTGGTTTTCTTTTTTATTATTGTCTAGCATTTATTGGATATGGGCTTATTCTAGTCCTGTGATGTAAAAAGGGGGAATGCCTCCTTAAGACTTGTAATGCTCTTTTTTTTGTTTTTTATATATCATCCCATTCGGGAAAAAAAAAAAAAAAAAAAAATGGGAGGACAATCCATGCTTGTTGTTTGATGATCTAAGTTTTTGAATGCAAGTAGTATATGTCTCTAAGCTTGTGTTGTATTTGGATTGTGAGCTTAATGAAAGGATTAATGACTTATTTTGATCTATTGTGCCTTTCACATGTTGTTTAGACAATATATGCTTCATTGCTTAGATATATTGTGCCTTTCACATGATGTTTAGACAATACATGCTTAACTAGTCATCATTGCTTGTTGAATCAACCAAACACACATACACCAATATTGCAACACACTATTTTCCCTCATTAATCACTTGTCAATGATATAGAAATGCATTGCTTGGTAGTGATCTCTAAACCCTAAGATCTATCTCATTACTTACTCTTAATTTCATATTTTGTTATCACTTAGTTTAATTTAGTTGTTCTCTAATCAACTAACCAACCAATTGTTTGATCACTCGACGTACTAGCCCTAATAACGATTCCACGATATTGCTCGATCCTATCCAATCCCTTGGGACAATCCCTACTCGCCCTAGCTATATTTATAGTAAAAGGTAGTAGTGACTTCTATAAATGTAAAACTCTTGGCCCTCGCCTTAAAATTCACACTCTCTTATGGTAAGACGACGGACCACCAAGTTTTTGGTGCCATTGCCGGGGACTGATTGATTAGATTAGGCAACGTTGGATTTGTGGAATTGATTAGGATTAGTACTCTTTTGATCGTGTCTTTACTTTACTTCTATTTTTCTTTTTGGTTACTTATTGTGTTGTTCTTACTTGATTAGGTGCATTGTTGGAGAGGAAGCAAGCAAAGGAGCCATCAAGCATTTAAGCAAGCAACGAAAGTAAAAAGCTAAAAATTCTAAAAAATTGCTAAGCTAAGCTATAAATTTGGAGTTGAAGTGCTAAAGGACCTTTGTGAGACTTTCTTTACTCAATCCCTTAGTTAAATCGTCGGCCCGCGTGGAGGCTTATTTTTAATTGTCTTGCATCATTGTTGTTAAAGCATGAGAGTATGAATTAAGTGTTTGTGGAAAAAGTCTAATTGTATTATTGTGAAGGTATAGTGTTTGTCATTCTTTGTGTTTATTGTGTTTTGCATTGTGCATGCATGGACGTCGTTCATTGAGACCAACTCTTGTCCCTCTTGATTTGCATCTTGAATCTATCGTTAGAAACCCTAGGGGAAGTGGAAGTTCAAATAGAGCCAATCTATCAATGGATGACCATAATGACAATCATGTTGAGGAACTTGGTCACATACACCAATAAGGTATCCTTCATCCCAATATACACAATGAGAACATACAAGTACCATTAGGCATGCCTAGGCCATTCATTCACCAACCACCACAACAACAAGGCCAAGTTCCATATGGAATGCCAAGGCCAATGTATACTCCACAACCTCCCATCAACAATCAAGGAATTCATAACCAAGGTGTTCATGTTGCACCTCAAGTAGCTAATCCACCTCTTGCTTTAAGAGACCATTA